GCACCCTGAGCCGGGCACCGGAGGGGGAGGCTGCACCCTGAGCCGGGCACCGGAGGGGGAGGCTGCACCCTGAGCCGGGCACCGGAGGGGGAGGCTGCACTCTGAGCCGGGCACGGGACGAGGAAGCTGCTTGGGCAGACGGGGCGGCGATGGCGGACAGCGCCAAGCTGATGGAGCGGTTTGAGGGCACTGCCCGTGGGCACCAGGTGCCGTCGTCTGGCTGGCGGATCTGCCTGGCCCATGAGTTCGCGGAGAAGAGGAAACCCTACCAGGCCTCGGACGTCTCCGCCTCGGACGTGGTGAAACACCTGGGCCTGGGCATGCGGTAGGTGGCTCTGCCCTTCTGTGGCCATTGTGCACTTTGACGCCCCGTCGCAGCGCACCGCGATCGCTGGCCCCTTTCTCTCCCTCAGGGAATTGAATGAGCCACCCACAGGCCACCTGCCTGGTCAGTATCCTTGGGCGCTTTGCCTTGCCTCGCTTGTCTGAGAGCCTGGCACGGCCTCCCCCAGCTCTTCTCCCCACGACCCCCGAGCGGACAGACCTGTCAGTCCTGCCAGATTGGCCAGTTCCCCCAACGTGCATCCCCCTTCGTTATCACACTTCAGTGTGTGGTCTATAGAGCAGTACAAACAACTCATTGTCTGTACAAAATTTTAGTTTGCACTGACTTTGCTTGTGCTTTTTATGTAGCTTGTTGTAAAACTAGACAAATATGTAGCTGAGTTGATGTACCCCCTAGAAGACCTCTGAGTACCCCTAGTGAGAACCACTGTCCTAGGGTATCAGTGTCAAGTATTTACTGTAGTTTATGAATGGCTTGGTTTTTCTTTGGCAGTTTGTGGTGATAAAATCTAATGTAATGCTATATGCATCCGAAGAAGTGGGCTGTAGTCCACGAAAGCTTATGCTCTAATAAATTTGTTAGTCTCTAAGGTGCCACAAGTCCTCCTGTTCTTCTAATGTAAGGGTTAGTTATGACTGTTCTTATAAAGTGCCATGTGATTAAAATTTGTCTAGGGTCTGACACTCGTTAGACGCTCTCTTAACGACCAGAACAGCCTGAGATCCGAAATGTGTGCGATTCTGTGCTATGAATAGATGGGACGTGGTCTGTTAAGTTGCAGCATGTTTTTATATACATAGTTACTCAAGGGTTAAAAGTGACTGTTGGAATGTTGACAGAGAATTACTGTTACTGATCAAGGTCCTGTCGCTACTTACCACATGTGTAGGTCTCGCTTGCTTTCCTGTGTGGACCTTGTTACTGTTGCATCTGAGCCTAGTCATTTGCCTTTTCCTCGCCTCAGCCAGGGAGATGGGGCCACGCTGTTGTCCCTGTTGTACCGTCGGGGAACTGAGGCACCGTCACAGGTCACAACGTTGGTCTGCAGCAGAGCTGGGCTCTTCCGTTCCTGGGGCCATTGCACCTGTATTTCCCCTCCGGGGCTCAGCAAGGGCACCCACCCTTGGATTCCAACTCCCCAGGTGCTGCCTTTCTGGGGGGAGCCCCACATCTCTCTCTTCTGCCTGGGGTATTCCCAGGCTGCCTCGGTCCCTGCCTTCACTGTGTATCTCCCAGCAAAGAGAGTCTGCTTGCTTTCTCCTGAGACTGGTAACAGAGCGGTTGTTGGAGAGATAAGTTGTGAGACAGCACTTGCTTTATTGTTAAGGTGAAAAGCATTACAGGTCTGGCGCATCTTACGCACATTTAACATGCGCGATTTCAGCTTTACGAGGTCGGCAAAAACAAACAAAAACAAAAGAGAGAAAAATAACCATTTGAATACTGTACCAGTAGTGCTGGCGATTCCGCCCGCCATTCCACTCAATGTAATTTTGACTCTACGTGATTTTCGCTTTACGCGCTGACTGCGGAACGTAACCCCAGCGTAAGATGCGACAGACTGTACAGAGAAAACGGAATACAAACCATAAAAGAGCCTACACGCCTGCTAATGAGCTTACCAGAGCTCGTGGGGTCTGGTGTGAGCAGTCCTGTGACACCCCAAACCACCCCCTGGGGAGTCCTTGTGACTACCGCCTACCAGTGCATCACAGCTTCAGATCAGAAGACGCACCCAGTCTCCTGGGGCCGTAGTAGGCCCAATCCTACCCTAAGGATCAGGACCCTCTGTGGCCCAGGGGTTCTGGGGCTCCTGCCTGTTTGCTGGATTAGGAAGAAGGCCCTGAGCCAGTTTAAACTCGGCTATTTATCCCAAACTCTTTTCTTTGTCTGTTGGTCTCTGGAGAAGTCAGATTGAAGGAGGATTTGCATATCCCTGAGGTGGAAGGTGGGGCTGTGGCTTCCACAGCTGATAACTGAAGAAGTGCGTTCACATCCCCCCTTCTACCACAGCAGGTACATTCAGTGTCGCAACAACACAGCTGCAGTTGCATTTTTAATGCAATGGCCTCCAAAGGGATTAACCCTCATTCTATCTGGTTTAATTTAATTCAATAATGTTTTGTTAATGTGAGCAGGTTTTTTCCGGGCATTACAAGGTATTGTCAATCTATCACCGCAAAGTTTGCCAATGACCCACAAATTGGTGACAGTTCAGTTGTACAGACTGATCAGGATTGCATGGTTAGATGGGCTCATTTGAACAACATGTGTTTTAATACAACGAAATGCAAGGCCATAAACCTAGCAGTTAAGATTATAGGTCACATTTATAGGTTGGGAGCTATTTTGGAAAGTGGTTACTACCTGAGACAGTATTTGGTCCTGCCATGCGGGCAGGGGACTGGACTCGATGACCTCTCGAGGTCCCTTCCAGTCCTTGAATCTATGAATCTGAGCGTGAGCTGGGAGGGTGGTGGAATGACTAAGAGCAAACAAGATCCTTGTCTGTATAAACAGGAGAGTGGGAGTAGAGAGATGCTATCGCATCTGTATATAGCAGTGGTGAGACCATTGCTGGGCACCCTGTACAGGTCTGGTTTCCACACTTCAAAGAGGATGTTCAAGAAATGGAAGGGGTTCAGAAAAGTGCTATACATGAATGGTGTGAGGTTTGGAAAACCTGCCGGACTTTGAGACACTAAGAAAGCTCCACCTGTTTAGTTTAATAAAGAGAAAGTTAAGATCATGCTCTATGAATACTTGTATGGGTAGAAGGACTTTGATTATTAATTGAGTATTAATTGCACCCTCAGCAAGTTCAGAGATGACACTAATCTGGGGGGAGAGGTAGATACGCTGGAGAGTAGGGATAGGGTCCAGAGTGACCTAGACAAATGGGAGGATTGGGCCAAAAGAAATCTGATGAGGTTCAACAAGGACAAGTGCAGAGTCCTGCACTTAGGATGGAAGAATCCCATGCACTGCTACAGACTAGGGACCGAGTGGCTAGGCAGCAGTTCTGCAGAAAAGGACCTGGGGTTACGGTGGATGAGAAGCTGGATATGAGTCAGCAGTGTGTCCTTGTTGCCAAGAAGGCTAACGGCATATTGGGCTGCATTAGTAGGAGCATTGCCAGCAGATCGAGGGAAGTGATTATTCCCCTCTATTCGGCACTGGTGAGGCCACACCTGGAGTATTGGATCCAGTTTTGGTCCCCCCACTACAGAAAGGATGTGGACTCTCTCCAGTGGAGGGCAACGAAAATGATTCGGGGTCTGGGACACATGACTTATGAGGAGAGGCTGAGGGAACTGGGGTTATTTAGTCTGCAGAAGAGAAGAGTGAGGGGGGATTTGATAGCAGCCTTCAACTACCTGAAAGAGGGTTCCAAAGAGGATGGAGCTCGGCTGTTCTCAGTGGTGGCAGATGACAGAACAAGGAGTAATGGTCTCAAGTTGCAGTGGGGGAGGTTTAGGTTGGATATTAGGAAACACTATTTCACTAGGAGGATGGTGAAGCACTGGAATGGGTTACCTAGGGAGGTGGTGGAATCTCCTTCCTTGGAGGTTTTTAAGGCCCGGCTTGACAAAGCCCTGGCTGGGATGATTTAGTTGGGAATTGGTCCTGCTTTGAGCAGGGGGTTGGACTTGATGGCCTCCTGAGGTCCCTTCCAGCCCTAATCTTCTATGATTCTATGATAGATTAAAGAGCCCTCTGCTAACAGGCAAAGGCAGAATGAGAGTCCATGGCTGGAAGCTGAAGGTAGATGAATTCGTAGTAATAAGGCAAAAATGTTTAACAGGGAGGGTAACCGACCAGTGGAACAACTTAGTGCTTGTTTCCACATACAGTGCTGTATTGCTGTAGCAAAGACGCTGCTACTCCAAC